TTTAGTTCATAGGAGGGACAACGCCAGTCAGACTCTGATGGGCACCAGGTACCTTAAAATCCCCAGCGGCCTCCTTCCCTGTCACTCAAAAAAAAATCTTACCTGAATGCCAGTGAGCATGCAAGTTTTTCTAGGAATAGCTATGAGTTTGATGCCATTTATAAGAAAAGAAAGTCATTTATAAGCCTTAGCGCTTGGTTGCCAGTAGCCCTGTACTTACAACTTACCTCCCACCAATCCTGACCTACAGGTGAATTGAGACAGAACAAGAATCATGTCTTGGTTACTCCTTTCCTCTTCAAATACATCATCAGTGAAATGATGCAGCTATAAAATATTTATTTTCAAGTATTGCAAGTGACTAAGGAGAGTTATAGATTTGCACTGATTCTGATTGTTGGGCTCAAACATCATTAGATCACATTTTAATAACTCAATCTCTCTCTTTTCTTATACTATCCCTCTCTCTATCAGGTGTTTTTAAGAGCAACACAAATGTCTCCAAGCAGAAGCCTTGCACAGAACGAGGCTGGATTGTGGAGAAATTTTTAAAAATCTGGGCCAAAAGATTTCCAGGATCAGTATAGTTCCAATTGCCCCGTGAGCTAATAGCTTGCAATTCACACCTCTTCCTGAGCTTTCAATCTGTGAAATCTCATCTGTAACCGCAGATGCTGGTCTCAAATGCCAAGCTCCAGAGAACTCTGTTTCTGACAAGCTTTCAAATTTGACTCAAGTCACAGGGTTTGGACCAAAATCTTTACCATCTCATGTTCATCTGGAGTGGGCCAACCATAACTTCCTGCTTTTAAGGAACATGGCCCGTGCAAAGATCCAGGAGGTTTAAACACGGAGGAAGTTGTAAATGACACTTCTGTGAAGTTGTCAAAGAAAATAGGGTTTTGATTTTCCTTCAAATAAGTGGCCATCAAACAGCAAGAGACTGCACCTGGAGAAGGCCTAAGCTCCCTTCACCACGGACATTTGAGAGGTGCTCTGGAAATATCAGGGTGAGGACAACTGGGTCTCTTCCTGTTTGATCTGTGCCTCCCAAATTGCTATTAGCCCTGCTAGGGCGTGGCACAGAAATCAATTCAAAGCACCTTCTAGAAGATACAGATGTTATATGTCAGTATGATCCTGGATCCTGGGGAGACATACAAGGTCCCTGCCCTCAAAGAGCTTACATTCTAGATGAGGAGACCGAGAATATACAAGTAAATGATTAATATATAAATAGGCAATTTCAGGTAGTGACTGTGCTACACAGAACATAAAAAGGGATGTTATAATAGAGAATGACAGGGAGCTGCCTTGTCAGGCAGTCTGTGTGGTCTGATGCTTACTCTTCCATTAACTTATGGGCATATTTTACTTATTTATAATGGGGCTTCTGTTGAGATCAGATCAGACATCCCGTGAAAGGAAATACGCCTTCTGCCACTCCCCCATCCCCCACACACGTCAACACATACAGATTAAATCAGATTTGGAATTTATTTTTGCTTTCCATGGTCCATCAAAAGATGTCTCTAGAATTTGGACTTAGAAGGGTAAATGAGGGAAACTCAGAAGGCAAAGCCTACGGCAATCGAATGATCCGGTTTCTAAGATAAGAATTCCATTTGAGTCATAAGTCAAGTACAGAGTTGGTGGAAATGGGGTGCATCTGCCCCTTCTCAGTCTTGGCCTGAACTTCCAGGAGACAACAAGTCAGATAGAATGACAGAGCAGCTTATCAGAGTCCTACTGTGATGTGCCCACTCAAAAGCCCTCTGAAGGCTTACAAGAATCTCTTGGCCACCCAGCATCTTTGGCATCTCTTATTTTATAGTTACCGGTAACTGGTGACTGTAGCAATTTACCCCCATGGTATTTCAAGACGGCATAATGGCCATGCTCACAGTATTTCATAACAGAGAGACTTGGGTCCAAGTCCCAACTTTGGCTCTTGTAGAATGTTAGGCAGGCCATGTTTTCTTAATAGTTAAGCCTCAGTGTCTTCTTTAGTAAAGTGAAGGTAATGCTTACCTCATGCGGTACTTGTAAGGATTAAATTAAGAAATGCACCTAAAACACTTAGCAAGTAACTGACACTTAGCAAAGTGGCTGGTATTAATCAATATTAACCAATCACCTCAAAGATTAAAGTGTATTTAAGGCAGCTTAAAATACAAAGTGCCTCATACTCTGACTTAATTCTTAAGTAACTGGTTAGCCACTAGATGCATCATTGGTAACAGCCACTCAAGACCTCTAGCTAGGAACCAGGAGCCTAATTATCTGGGTATATGAGTTCTTAGTCAACATAATACATGTTCTTACTGGATGGATGGATGGATGGATGGATGGATGGATGGATGGATGGATGGATGGATGGGTGGATGGGTGGATGGGTGGATGGGTGGATAGGTGGATGGGTGGATGGGTGGGGATGGGTAGATGGGTAGATGGATGGATGGTAGATGGTGGATGGGTGGATGGGTGGATGGATGGATGGATGGATGGATGGATGGGTGGATGGGTGGACGAGTGGATGGATGGATGGATGGATAGACAGATAGACAGACTATGTATGTATCTAGAAAACGTCATTCTAGGAAGAAGCCTGCCTCAAGAGATACTAACTCATATAATCAGGATGGGTTCCATTGGGACCATGTCTAACTCATCTTCATATCCCCAGTATCTGATATATTCTGTGGTCCCTAATAGATGTTTCTTTGGTTTAGGGGGAAAAGAATTAGGCTGAGTCCAGAGACCTGGGGTCTAGTCCTAAACTTCTTATTGATAAGCTGTTAGTACTTGGAGAAGGCTTCTGTTTATCATTCCAGGAAGAAGCTGGATTTGATGATCTCTAGGTCTCCAGCCAACCTAGGTTTCTACCTCCAGAAGGAAAAGTCTACATCTCTTTGTGATTTGTTCTCTAAACACTCCAGAAACCTGAGTAGCTCCTCTTGCCTCCAGGGTTGTGGCATTTCACTCTGGAACCAATCAAGCAGGGTGGCTAGGCCAGCAAAAAGAAACAATAGACAAAACAAGAGAGTGTTACCAGTATCCTGCTCTCAGATTACACCAAACAAATGCCTCCAGCACACAGAGACTAGAACCTGCCCCCAACGAAGCTGGAGGGAAAAAATGGTTTTAATTAAGAGAGAAAACCGGCAGAATTGCTGATTTCCTGAGAGACTTCTCCTAAATCACTACAAGCAGCCGCATTGCTCCCTGCAGTGGATTTCTCCATCGCGGGCCAATTCAAACCATTCTTTAGTCGTGAGACAATCCTCCAGTGACGCACTGTTAAGCAGTCCCCACCTGCACAACTGAGAGCCCAGACGCCCACCGTGCCTGACTCCCTGGTCTTTGGTGGTCTTGGGGGCCCCGCTGCCCCTGCACAGGGGAGAGAGGGGGATTTCCATCTTCTCCCTCCTGAAGATAACTCCCAGTAGTCCTAAAGTGTTTCAAAGTCCTTCGTTTTCACAGAGCCAGGAAAAAAAATCCAATTTCTTTGGGAAAGGGGATGCCTTGAATTTTCAAGGTCTCCGGTTCTGGGAATGGGAGAACAGAGTTAACCCCATAAAGCTGAATGGGAACTCATGGTGTCATGTTAAAAAAAGAGGGGAGCTCAGAATTGAGCAGCCCCACCACATAAGAGCCGAGCCATTCTTGGGCAAGTTACTTCATATTTAGAAGCCTTAGTTTCTCAGCCTGTAAAATGGCTCTGAGGAAATCTAGTCATTCATTTATTCAATGGATATTTGGTGTGTACCTCAAAGAGAAGTTTATGGGAGTTAGGTAATAAATATATGCAAAGCACTAGCATTGAGTTGGGTTCATAGCAGGTGCTTTAAAAATGTTAATCTTTTTCCTTCTCCCACAGGAAGATAAAATCTTGATGACTGGCCTCAGCTCTCCCAGATACCAAAAGGATCCTTAGGTTCTCATTTATGATGTATTTACACCATGAAAAATCATTTGTGCTTTGATAATTTCCCCTTTCAGCCTGACTAACAGTCCACAGCCACACTCTCATGAAATTAAAAGCAAAATGAGAACCTGACTCAAATTCAAACATTCCCGTAAAAAGGTGTAAGTCTTAGTCACTTCTGAGGTGTGGCTGGGAGTGGCCAGATCTTCCTTTCTTGAGAGGAGAGCAGAACTAAGCAGTCTAAGGCAATTAAAGGTATTTTTGGAGATGAGAGAACTGAACACCCCAGTGACTGATGGATGGGCACTTTATGCCCTCAGAAGCTGGTCTCTCATCCACAACCAGGAAATTCCAAGCTTGGGTTTCTGGGGAAGATGTGTGCTCTGGAAAACTGTAAGTTTCCCGAATGAGAAGGAAGCTACTTCCTTAAACCACCCCTGAGGGCTCTTCTATCCTCCGAGGCCAGGGAAGAGCATTGTAAAGAAACACATCACTTGAGAGGGAGAAAAATACCATCTCCTCCTCTGGCCCCACCAACAACTGCCAGGACGGAAGGCAGGAAGAGGCTGATCCTGCTGAGACAAGCAGCCTGGGAGACTGACTGGCATTGTGCAAGTAAAGACAGGACCTGGAGCTCATTTCCCCATTCGCTTTCATGAGCTACTGCAATAGCCAAGGTTTCCGGAACAACCCGTGCTGCTTTATCTACTCAGCAACAGTTGTTTCATGTGGGTGTCAGCACTCTGGTGCACCCTCCCTACTGAATTAAATGAGATTTTATTGACTAATGCTTTGCCCAGAAATGGAATGAAAATCTTCCAAAGGCAAGCTGGTAGCTTTTTCTCAAGTGCAGCTGGAACAAAGTGAGGGCTGACTCGTACAGGGAGAGGTCCCAGGTCTAGTAGCAACAACAGAGATCACAGTGGGTACTGATGAAGGCTTAATCCCCACCAGTCACTCTGTCACGTTAGTCCTTACACTCCCCTACAGGTAGGTGTTGGTATTCTATTTTAAAGATAAGACAGTTGAGGCTTGGAGATGTTAATTGTGTAAAGCTACATAATTGATGAGTGGCAGGACTCAAACCCAGGGCTCACTCCAGGACACACACTGCTTTCTGAGTGCCCGAGACACTGAACTCAAACCCTCTTTGTGCATTGTTAATAGCCTGTGCCTGACCCAGAGACTGAACTACGTGGCTTGGCTACACGCTCTCAAACCTAACCTTTAGAAGAAGATAGAAACCCTGACTTTGAGACACAATCCCCTGCTAGCCTGTTTGAGGTGAGGCCTTTTTCTGAATCTGTTCCAGGGGGTGTGGAAAGCTCATTTGGAGAAGAAAGCAAACGAGTTTTCCAAAGGCTGTGACAATGCAAACAATGCAGAATACAAGAGTGGCTGTTGACTTTAGCCTTCCAAACAATATAAAGAACGGGAAGCTCAAACAGATAATAGAGTACTTTTCCTATACCCTGAGAAACAGTCATTCAGGAAGGCTGGCGATCATCTGATGATGCTTGTTTGAGAGAGAGCTGCCCCAAGCACGTCCAGGAAGGGAGCCACAGGAAGCCTCTCCCTCTGCCCCCAGCAAGAAGAGTCTCAAGTATCCAAGACTTGCTTCCCCAAACCTCATCCCTTCTTTCCCATCCCCGCAAAGAAAAGGTTTCTTCTTTGTCTTTCTCATCCATCCTGCGTGGTCAGACATTGTACATATTCAGCTTCTCTAGGTGCCCTTGCAAAAAACAAGGAAGAGACTTTCTTAAGTCAGGGGTCTCCAATCCCCAGGCCATGGACCGGTACCTGCTCCCCAGCGCTAGCATCACTGCCTCACCTCGGATCATCAGGCATTATATTCTCATAGGAGCACCAGTTCTCGGTACCAAAAAGGTTGGGGACTGCTGTCTTAAATTACACCAGCCAAGGAAAAGGGGTGGGAATTGGGATGAGCACAGCCATAAAGAGGAAGGAGAGAATGGGAGAAGATACGGCTGCTTGCTAACTCTTAGTTGCTTTTTAAGCACTCGTCTCTTATTCCAGTAGAATGGATAGATAGATGATAGATGATAGATGATAGATGATAGATAGACAGATAGACAGATAGATAGATAAAGTATATATTTTTTTTTATAGTTGAATTTGGAGATCACAACCTTGGTAAGTCACAATCCCACAAAATCAGCTCAACATTGAAATGGATACAGGCCTTCAGAAAAGACAATCCCAGTCCCAACTTCATTCATTCAACAAGGTTTCATTCAGTGCTCCCTATGTGTGGGGTACTGTTCTAGGCACCGGGACCAGGGCATTGAGCAAGGTCACTGTCCCAGTGCAAGTGATGGCCCTGGGGAGAGGACAGACATTCAAGAAATCAACAGCACAGCACAACAACCAAGTACAAGGTGCTGAGCACTTGGTTTAAAGGGAAATCTTTTCTCCTCAAGGCTTTTGCTGTCCCCTGGAGATGCCTCTCTGAGGCAACGCCATTCCTTCTGAGAACTAAAGGGATATATTGGGAACTAGCCTCCATTCTAACGCTCAGCAAGACTCATGGTCAGGAAATTCATCCTCAAACTAAAGTATAAATCATTTTGGTTTAACAGAATCCATTTCCTCCAGCTCTTTCATCATTAGATTCTGAAAGAAACAGCCCCCTTCCTGTGTAAGAAACAATCCACATTAAACATCCCCTAGGCTTCCCTTCCGTGCATGCAGTCATTATAAATCTTTTAATGGTATTTAGGTAATAAGTAGGAATGAAAAGAAATAAACAAAAAAATCCTGATGTTTCCCCCTCACCCCCCTTCTGTTAGATTCCTTAGCTAACTACATGGAGGCACGCGACTTGCCCAGAAAACTCTCCTGTTCATCTTTGGGCTTAATAAAATGTTAAGATACTGGACACTTGAGCTTCGGACTCAAAGAAACTATTAGGAAGAAGTTTTCTTGCTTATGAAAGAACAATTATTAATATAAAATTCAATAGTCCATTCTAAACTCCTTGAAAGTAAGTCAGGTCCATTGTGAGCCAACATAGTGTGGTGACATGGACTTTAGCTCTGGGGGAAGAAAACTAGGATTCAAATCCTGAATCTGCACTAATTACCTATATGACCTTGGCAAATTCATTCAATTTCTCTCCTGTATAGGAAGATAATAGTGCTAACCACAAAGTTAATGCGAGGGCTGGATTAGGTGATATAGCGGAAAATACTACACACACAGTAAAACACGCTAGGAGTAGGTATAGAAAAAAGAAACCGGTCATCTCCCATGGGGGTCATCATCTCATAATTTACAGGAAGAGATGCTCATCCGAGGTCATAATAATTCTTTTTAAATGGATCACTACAGATTAGTGGTCCCTATGCATGGTGCAGCTCTAGCAGTGCTGAGCTGGATTGCAATAATGAGTTTCTAATAATAAAGTGCTCATGTGTGCAAAAGATTGACGATTTCTTGTAAATTATATCAGATTTAAGGTTATTCTCTGATATGCTTTTGTTGGGAAGTAAAAAGGATGAAATTATAGCTATTATTATGATGTATTGAGTATTATTAAGCCACAGACCATCTAAGCCTCAAACTGCTGTGTGTCCCCTGTGTGAACTCTCCCCATGAGGTGTGTCTTCTCAGAAAGTGGAGGGTGTGGCTTAGGAACACAGGAACTTAGCTTTGCCTTTTTCCCTTTACCTTGCAGAGCATCTCAAGCCACAACCTTACCAGGCGGGAAGACACCCTTTGGGGCCTTACTCATTGTAAGAGACGTTGTTGCCAATGCAACAAAGTTCTAATTGAACCTCAATTTTGTTTAAAGCCCGAACTTGTGTTTCAGAGGAGGCGAAGGCCCAACTCCCAGCTCCAGTGTGTGGATCGTGACTGGTTTAAGTACTCCGTGGTCAGAATACTCCCTACCAATGATGGGTTGGGTGTGGGCATTCCATGGAATGTGACCTCTTCTTCCAATGAGAAATAAAGAGAAGTTAATTAAAGACTTCTGGAAAAGCTATTCCTCCCTTTTTTAGAAGAGATGTTTGTAAAAAAGCATCCCTTCTTCTGGTGCTGGATATTGATCTTTTTTTTTTTTTTTCATAGGAATCCTAGAACAGTGGGAGTCAATTTCGGGCCATGAAGGGGGCTAAACTTTAAGAAGACACTAGAATGGCAGAAAACTGGGAGAAAACTGGGTCTTTGATGATATGACTGAGTTTCTGAAATTGTCCTGCCTCCATACTTGTTATGGGGGATATCATTTTATGAGGGTTGATTACTCTATTACTTACAGAGATATTCAGCTGCCGTGCACTGATATGGGTATAGCAAGAAACACGTGGCAGATGACAACTACATGGGGGACGCATCACGGTTTAACGCATTGATAAGTTGTAGCTTACGTTCAACCATGATAGCTATAACTTCATCCCTATTTTTCCGACCCAAGAAAGCACATCTGAGTGAAAATGAAAAGATGTAATACCATCATTGACGTGATAACCTTGAATCCGTTCTCATTTATAAGACATAGTCGTTTCTAACTGACCATTTGGATTAGCTGGTAGCTCTGTTCTACCAAGTGACAGATACTGTTATTATTATCTATGCGGTCATGTGAAAGATGGTTTTGTTTTCTCATCACACCTGTCCTGCTCTCCTGATAGCGTCCACTCTGGTCATCTCTAAGTAATTACCACCAACGAAGCAGGTAAAGTAGTGAGGTCCTTGTAGCCAAGCAAGTGGACATTCACACCCCAGGGTTCTTGCCTGTTTCTCTTTCCTGATCCTGAAAGATGCACCTGCATGACTGCCGGAAGTCACCCTGCAAACCACCCTCCTCACACACACCAGTGAGACCCTGGGCCTGAGCTCCAGCCACCAAAGTGCTCGAGATAAGACCAAGAAACCTCCAATAAAATGGATGAGATATGGCCCTAAACCAAGGCTGAATGCTAAAGATTCCCAAGTAAATTATGAATCTCACATCCTCCCCCTCCCAGGTTAAAATAACTCCAGTATCACGGGATACTTGTCGATTCTCAGAGTTTGGGTTCCTTTGCTGCCCCGACACGTGCTTCTAAAAGCCTGATTGAGCTTGGAGGTTCCCATGGTTCTCTTTCCGCCATTGTCTATTGCAAGACAGACGTGATAAACCAGTTGCTTTCAGAGTTTTCAGTAGAACTTTCTTCTCTTGCTCTCTTACTCAGATGGCCTAAGGGTGAGGCAGCCAGAAGAAGGGCTGCCTTGGCTGGATTTGCTTGCGTAGCTCTGACCCCACCCACCAGACTGTCCCCTGGTCCTGAGAGCTGGTGGGTTTAAAAAGTCCAACCAGTAGTCCCCCCAAGGAATTGTGTGGATACTGCAAACATAGTTACTGCTATTAATCCTTCGGGTCTGAAGAAGCCTTCCCTGGTGCTCTAGATCAGGTGACGTCTCCTTGTTTTATGCTCTCACAAGATCTTATGTTCTTTCCCAGCATTTACCTCAAGTATAATTAAATAAGGGTATAATTAGTTGTTTACTGTCTGTCTTCCCAGATACACTGTAAGTTCCACGAGAGCAGAAACTGTGCCTCTCTTGTTTAAAGTTGTATCCCCAGCGCCTAGCAGAATGCCTGACACATATCAGTATTCAATACATATGTGTTGAATGAACAAATGAATCCTTTGAAAACCATTGATTGTTGACTTGACTCACAGAATTGCTCAGAGAAGTGGGCAAAAGAAAGCCAGGCCAGGTTAAATTGGGCCTTCTGGTTTCAAAACACTCATTAAGTCAAAAAAGGATCAAAACAAACACCAAGTATGGATGTATAAGATACTGCACAGGAAACCAGTCCTGAGTACAATGGAAGCTCCATCCACACCATTTCCCATCGTGTTACAAAAAACCAGTACCCTTTTATCTTCCTCTCTTTGTCATTCCAAGTCTTCTTGCCCTGGTCATCCCATCCTTCTCTTGCTTAATGCCCTTTCTTTTATCGTCTCAAAGAATGAAAAGGAAAGGACACTGGACTGAGAGTCAAAAGACCAAGGTTTTGACTCTGACTAGTGTGTGACATTGGGCAAGTCACCTGCAGTCTTTGCAATGACCGTCTCTTACCCGTCCAATATAACAAGTAGGCTA